CATCTCGGAAATTGCATGTTTGTAGATATAGGAACGAGCGTTCTGACATGGTTATTCTTCTATCCAAACAGGTCCGCAAGGCTGTTCGTCCCACCAAGCTCCGGGAGAGCCTTCAGCCCGGTACTATCCTGATCCTCCTCGCCGGTCGCTTCCGTGGCAAGCGTGTTGTCCTCCTCAAGCACCTTGAACAGGGTGTTCTCCTCGTCACCGGTCCCTTCAAGATCAACGGTGTTCCTCTCCGCCGTGTCAACGCCCGCTATGTGATCGCCACCAGCACCCGCATCGACATCAGCGGCGTCGACGCTCAGACCGTCGAGAAGGTCTCCACTCCCGACTACTTCACCAAGGAGAAGAAGGCCGAGAAGAAGACCGAGGAGGCTTTCTTCAAGCAGGGAGAGAAGCCCGAGGTACGTGTGCCGCGTCATTTGACCTGGATATATATGATAGATCTGGGCCGATGACCGCTCGGTAAGATGGTTTTGTGGTATGCTAACTCGAGAATCAACAACAGAAGAAGAAGGTTGCCAGCGCCCGCGCCAGCGACCAGAAGGCCATTGACCAGTCCATCCTGGCCTCCGTCAAGAAGGAGAACTTCCTTGGCAGCTACCTCGCCAGCACTTTCAGCCTCCGCAACGGTGACAAGCCCCACGAGATGAAGTGGTAAACGTGCGACGCGGCGGCCGCGGGTTCGGTAGTTATTGTGGAGGAATTCATGTGAGGGGCGGCTTGAATGCGGATTGGCATTCCCAATGTGGGAAGCGCTTGCAGCGCAGGAGGAACAGCTCATGAAATATGTAACTCGAGTCGGGCTCCGTCTTTGCTCCTTAGGATTACGGTCAATTCGGAAAACCGGTTGTTATTTCTGTTTCACGATCAGTCTCTCCTGCGTCGCCAATTCGCAGGACCTATAAATGAGCCGAAATGAAAAGAAAAAAAAGAATAATACCTTTTCCAGCTGTTATATGATCCCCCTTTAACGTGCGGCTGGGAGTTTGTCATGTCTAGTATGATACATCATCCATCGATTTCCAGGTTCGGGTGACAATCAAAAATTGGGAATTCAAGTTTCTGTTAAGATTCACTATATCAGCATTCCAGATGCCGCTCTGAACTGTAATGATCTTGTGCCCGTGGACTCTCCAGCTCTCTCTGTGACTCCGATACGATATATCCAATACAAATGTACAACCCGCGGTCTCCCCATGATCAAGCTTCATAAATGATTTAGTATCTAAAAATCCAATTCTCCCCGCGCCATACACAAACCAAAAATTTATACCCAGAAGACATCACTCATCATCGGTTAGGGCACATACCCCAACCTTCTAGAACATGACCCATATACATTCATATCGCATCAGAAACCCTAATAATCATTCCTCCGCCTCCTCAACTTATACCGTTCATCCCTCCTCTTCCTCGTAGACTCTTCAATCGCCCGTCTAATTTGCTCATCAATCATCTCCTTCTCACTCAAAGCCTCCTCCAACTCCTCCTCATCCTCGTCTCCTCCCACAGTAGTCCCACAAATCCAATCGAGGATCCCCCACGGGCCGAAATTCCCTTCCGCCCCACTGAGTACATGCATATCCATTCTGCGTGCGATCCCGCCCAGGAAGAAGCTCGTCGGCATAACAGAGTACCCGGAGAAGGCGAATGTCTCCTCGATGGATATCACGGTGAGGTAGAGGAGGTACGTGAGCATGTGGAAGCGGAAGAACATGGCGGGCAGATAGGTGGGGGTGAAATTGGAGAGAAGGTAGGCGAGTGGGTGGTCATAGTGTGCTGTGAGGGGGAAAGGAGCTCGTAGAGAATGGTACCATTTCCGGTGGTATTTGGAGACTTGGTAGTCCGGGGAGTGGAGGATGAAACGGTGGACGTTGTAGGTTAGGATCTATTTTATCATCCCAACAATAAGATGTTAGTTTACTCTGGCATTCTTTTCTGGGGTGTTGTGGGTGAAAGGGGGGGGGGGGGGGGGGTTCGTTTTGGTTCTCTTCGATATGTTTATGTTTCTAATGTATGGATTGGGCTGGATTGGAATGGATTAGACCAACTCACCTCTCTTGCTAGCAATCCCCGCAGTAGGTCTTTCACCATCTCCCAGGGCATCGGTAACTTCATTGAGACCCTCAGTGCACTCCGCATTCCGAATAGCTCTGTCCGAACTTCCTCAATCGCTGCTTGTGCGGCGAAGCTCAACCCAATATTGAGAATAGCCCATCCCGCAACCTTGAGATCCTTCATTCGGACTTTTCCCCGTTTACTTCCTGCCGGGAGACCAGCTTCACCCTGCGCTTTTACAACAACAGCAGCGGAGGGGGTCAGGATATCGAAGAGGAAAAACAGAAGCGACGGGAGTAGAAAGAACAGGAGTCGCACAGCTGCGGTGCCGAATAGCTCGACTCGGAGTGGAGGATGCGACAGCACGAGGGTCGTCCATGTCATGTAAAAGAAGATTATATTGAGACTCGTACTGTAGGAGGAAATCGTGGGGACCAGGAAGAGAGAGAGCACTGGTAATGAGAGGAGCGCGTCCATTGTGTGTGTGTGTGTGTGTGTGTGCGCGTGTGTGTGGTGTGTGTTGCGATGTTGACCGCACTTCTGATTGTAGGTGGTTATCTTTTTATGTATCTGATTTATACGTTCGGCTTAGGATGCATTGTAGGTACTCAAAGAAAATAACAGTATAAACAACCGACGGGGTATTCTGAGATAGGATCAATTCCATCCAGGTCTATGTCATCGTCGCCATGGAGGGTCATAAGCATATATGGAGGTGGCTTTGGGCAATCAAAATGGAAATCCGTTTGCAGCCTTAGTGGCTGAGTGGCACGACGTCACACTCACGATCCACATGCCAACTGAAATTAATCTTGCCCGATGTTGCCTAAGGTAGTGCTACCACTTAACTTTATTCCATCGTATTTTCCTGGAATTTCTATAACTAACCCAGACAGTTCATCATGTATTGATCTGTCATGGCGATCGACGGTAACTTCTTACTACGTGCCAGCTTATGTTTTCATAGAGACAGAGAGAAGAAAAAAAAAAACTATTATATATATATATATTTATACACTTGTACAAATCCCGATTTTCACCCAACCTGCCGGGCACCATGTCAGACGACAAAGTTTTCATTCCAGGGACAAGACTTCAAACAGTCGAATGGCACGTGTTTAGCGTGGACCTAATGTAGGTACGGCTTAATAACACGGAATACGACAGTTCATAGACAGGAACACCAATAGCAGGTACGGATCTAAGGATAAGCGAATCAGGCTGCGTAAGGATGCTCATGGGTATCTAATCATACACCGCACAACATAACATGTCATCTCCTCTCCCAAAACCGCGCCTTACTCTGACGTCCGGGACGACGGGATACCGTTCTTCATACCCCAGTTCCAGGCCTGCTTTCGGAGATCAGGAATCACCTGCAAGAATGCCAAGCTGCTGAGCCAGCTGGTCAATGTGTCGCGGACAGTAGAGTTCCTTGGGCTGCCTCCCATGGCGCTTCCCTTCATTACATGCCCAACAAACATAGTTGTAATAAGGTATTCACCTCTTTCCAGTGCTGCAATCGCGATTCTCGCGACTTCGCCAGGAGTTTGTGGCTTGTCAGCCGCCTCCAATTGTTTTGTCAACTCAGGCTTGAGCTTCTGTTCGTTGTCGAAACCGGGGCTCAGAATTCCCATCGGGAAAACCGTGTGAACCTTGACGTCGGCAGAAGTAGCATTGATCTGCGATTTTGATTGACGAGTACCGTTATACATTTCAATCTCCTGATTGAGGGTGTCGGATAAAGAACGAATCGCCGCCTTGGCAGGAGAATAAGGCCCGTACCCGGCGATCGGTACAAAAGCCAGTGTGGAACATGTAAAAATAAGATGTCTTCGTGGGTTTGTCGTCTGTTCGCTTGGGGGGACAGGTACAAGCCACTTTCTGAGTGTCGCATGGGCGGTGTTCGCCGCAGTCCAATAGACCGTATCCATCTGATCTCTGAGCGTTTGGACTGGAGTGTCGACAAAGAACCCAGGGTTACAGTAGCCTGCGCAGCACCACACGACGTCAGGGGGAAGCCCATAATTCCACTCAGTGACCTCTTCGATGATCTGCTCGCATTGCGCGGCGTTCGTAAGGTCGGCACTGATGTAATGAAACTTTTGCCTGTTCAAATTTGCAGCCGACGCCTAAGAATGGTAAGCATCTTCTAGCGTAGTGCATGCAGACATGGTGGTTTACCTTAACCTCATCAAGCGCATCTTGAAGTTTCTGGACTGTTCGTGCAACGAGGACAACGTTCGCACCCTTTGCGGCAAGTTGACAAGCTACAGCCTTGCCCATACCTTCGGAGCTACCCGTAATCACTACGGTCTATAAGAAGGATGGTCATGATTAATAGTTTGTTTACGGGAAAGAGAGAGATCATATATCGCATACCCTGCCCTCCACGACGAACTCGTTCTGTTGAGATCCGAAACCCAACATCTTGGGAAGCATCTTGGTAACTGTATATAGGAAGAACCCGCAAAGAATGACGGAAACCCCCAATTGGGTGGGAGATAGGTCGTTAGGATGAAGGAGAGTACTTGATGCATGGGGAAAAGAAGACGAGGATGAGGATTCCACGGATATAAGGTGAACGACTTGGCCAGAGAACAAAGTTAGTCCGTTAATGAAGGTCAATTGAGCCTGCTGCTTCCTCTTCAGTCGAAGTTCGGTTGCCGATCATCAAGATGGTTTGAAAGCCTTCAGGTCGGAGCTTCCGTACATCAAGCAATGGATACAGTGGGGGCCTTCCGATTTGGTGGCATTCCGCCTGTAACAATCTGTATCGCCGGTCAAACACTGCAAACTTTACCCACAGGAGACTAGTGTCTTCAAGGCGGTAAGCGTCCCGCCCAAAATTTTATCGCGGAGGTTTATCGATTCCGCAGATTTGGTCTGGACTACAGAGTAGATCAATCTCTTTTTGTCCATCCAAGAAGTCAGTCATGGGCAAAAGAAAGGCGGGTGGTCGCCCTGCGGCCAGGAAAGAGTCCGCCCCAGCACGTACGAAATTCAACATCGAGGAGAGGTTTGACGACTCCGAAGATGAATTCCAGACGGGTCGTGATCAAGTCCTGCTGGAGGAAGCACCGGAGGCAAAGAGACGGCGGAAGGTGATCCAGGAAGGTTAGTCTATGCAGTGCCTCGTGGCTGTAATTGTTTTCTGACGAGGCGACTTTTTTTAGAGGAAATGCTCCAGCCGTCTGATGAGGAAATCATGGGTTACGAGTCGGTGGACGAAGACGACTTGGATGACGACGAGGACATGGACGAGGATGACTATGGTGAAGAGGATGAGATAGACGACGAAGAACTCTTACGTCCCAAGACAAAGCGCGGTGGTGCTGCGGGGTCTGATTCCGAGGACGAGGACGAGGACGGCATTGCTGCTTGGGGTTCATCGAGGAAAGACCTTTACAATGCGGATCAAATAGAAACTGAAGCGGATGCTCTTGAGGAAGAGGAAGAAGCTAAGAGACTCCAACAGAAGCACTTGCAAGCGATGAATGAGGCAGACTTTGGCTTTGACGAAACCGAATGGGCCGAATCTGGCAAAGGACAAGAAGATGGGGAAGGTGATGCTGGAGAAGTAACGGAGGTTCTCCCACAGTTGGAAATCACAGACGATATGAGCACAGAGGAGAAACTGAAGATTTTGAGGTCGAGATACCCCGAGTTCGAGCCATTGGCTAAGGATTTCATCGACCTTCAGACAACACATCGCACGCTTGCAGAAGCCGCCGAGGCTGCTAAGACCACTAAAGATGCAGTCCCCGAAGTTGCCCCAGTCCCTGTCATCAAATTCCGTGCCCTGTCGGCTTATCTCGGTACTTTTGCTATGTATCTTGTGCTTTTAACATCGTCTCGAGATGCCTCTGGGAATCCGGCTCCCTTGTCCCCGGCTCAGCTTCGATGGCACCCGGTCATGGGCGCCCTAGTGAAGTTTCGTAAGCTTTGGGAGTCTGCCAAAGACCTTACTGCTCCCGAAGTGTCGGATGTCGAGGAAGATATGGACAGCGAAGAAGATGTATCTGTCGCCCCTGTCGCCAAGCAGCAGAGCTTGAATAAGGAGGCGCAAATTCCCAAGAAAAAGAAGGAGAAGGTCTCTAAAGCGCAGCGCATGGCCGAGGCAGCACAGGCAGAGGCCGAAGCTCGTAGGGCACAGAGATTACGGGAGACAGAGGCCAATCTGGCGGATCTCTCGAATCTTGTCACCAAGCCTGGCAAGAAGAGAGCCGCCCAAAAAGCTAAACAATCCTCTAAAGCTGCTGATGACTCCGACTTCGGTGATGAAGATGCTCTTACTGCTAAGGAGGCTGAGGAGAAAGCCAAGCAGAAGCGTTCTCTCCGTTTCTATACTTCCCAACTTGCGCAGAAGGCAAACAAGCGCACTGCTGCTGGTCGCGATGCTGGTGGTGATGCGGATATACCTTATCGTGAACGTTTGAGGGATCGCCAGGCTCGCCTGAATGCTGAAGCTGAGAAGCGTGGTAGACAGAAGCCTAAGGAATCCGAACAACTGGGCGGCGACAGTGACGACGAAGATCATCGGGTTGCCAATGAGCTTAGAGGGGACCAGGGCGGATCGGATGATGACGATTATTATGATATGATTGCTGCACGTTCCAAGCAACGCAAGGATGATAAGAAGGCGCGTGCTGAAGCGTACGCCGCCGCTGCCCGTGAAGGAGGTCAAGTGGCAATCCAGGAGGAGGTTGGACCAGATGGCAAACGAGCCATCACATACCAAATCGAGAAGAACAAGGGTCTTGCGGCCAAGCGGAGCAAGGACTCCCGCAATCCCCGTGTCAAGAAGAGGAAGAAGTTTGAAGAGAAGAAGAAGAAGCTGGGTAGTATCCGCCAGTTGTACAAGGGTGGTGAAGGTCGTGGTGGCTATGCTGGTGAACTTACTGGTATCAAGAAGAACCTGGTTAAAAGTGTCAAGCTATAGAATTGTCCCCTTGGTTGTTTCTTTGCGGTATGAGTGGATACTTATAGTCCGGGCGTTCGATCTCGTGATATCAAAAAGGATTTGTGTGTACATATATAATTCATATGATAAAACCTCTGTTCGAGTCCCTTTCCTCCCCAGTCTGGTGTCAAAACAGGCACATTCTATTTAGTACTACTAGCAACACAAACTGCCTCGCTGATATCGTCAAGTTATACCCCCCAATTTTTGGTTTCTCCGACAAGCATGTTTAGCATATCACTCACAGCTTCGTCGCTCCCTTCCGTTGACAGGTCTAAACCTAGAAATCTTCTCGCAAGCATGTCCTTCCATAATGTCAGTCTCTTGCGTGCCACACAAACACCAGAAGACAATAGCAATGCCCTACCGCTTCTTCCAAAGCGTGCATTTCCTCCGCTGACAACATGGCACAAGCGGCTGTCAGGTTTTCTCCACGAACAGCGAGAGATGCCAGCTCATTTGCCCGTTCTACGATCGTCTCGTTGATTCCGTTCAGTGCCGCACAACTATCTCATCCATGCAAGTCAGATACAAGACCAATACATACTGCGTATACTTGAAACGCACATTGGTCCATAGCTCTTATCGCTCCGGCCTAGGCGGAAGCTATTCCAGTATCTCGTTAGCAGATCAACTTCGTATTATGCAAATGAAGCTTCGGTCAATCTGGAACGGACTTATATAGATATGTGATTTGATCTTCCGCTTTGCAGGATTCTTCGCAAACCTGAACCTCCATATGACCGAGCAGCAGCCGGGGTCCTGGCTTGAGAAACTCATTCTCGAGTATCTCATGGAAATGTGTTGCAGCAATAACCTTCGGCGCATTCTCGGCTATAAGTAAGTGGTTAAGAATCCCGCAGATTAACCCGATACCATCTACAGCAAATATGTCAGTGTCTGATATGGAAAATAGTGTAAGCGAATGACACCGACCGCTCTCGCTGGTACCCTTGCCAAACTCATCTATTATCAACAGGCTGCGTTCGGTCATCTGCTTTAAGTCAAACGATACTTGTTGCAGATCGTTCATAAATGTGCTCTGGATCTGGAGCGGCATTAGCCTTATACGTCAGTGGATACAGGTTGATTGCTTCTCTCACCTGGGAGACACTATCTTGGCTATTAGATTTGACGAGTATCTTATCTGTTATCCCCATTTCGACACTTTCGGCTGGAACGAAGCTACTGTATTCAGTTACATGTAGATAGCATGACCAGGTGATTCACTGCCCTACATACCTTCCCACTTGTGCCAAATAAATGATTAAAGCAACCTGACGTTTATTACACAATGAATCCCCTTGTTGGGAGCGTCATACTTACCTGCTTCATATAAATGCTCTTTCCGGAGTAATTCGGGCCTGTTAATAGCAACATGTTTGGATTCCCCCATGTTTCGAGAGCTGTTTGGGATTTTGATGAAGAACATGGAGCCCATGCACCCAGCTTCCCTCCAACTAACAGGGTATCGTTCGGCACATATGATGAGACAGTCAATTCTTGGAGAATATGACTACCGAATTGTCAGCAAGCGCCGATAAGTCTCTCCCTCGCTTAGATTTACCGGCCTCCTTTGATGCTGATTACATTCTCGCGCACCAATTTGGGGCGGGTCAAGCTATAGAAACTTGCTGCCTGTGACATGGCAAGAAGGCTGCGGGAGATCAGTCTATGTCTGTCAAGAGGACGTTGAGAGCGCTTACCTGTCAATGTGACCACATATATCTGACGCCTCAAGAAGCACTTTCTCATATTGAAGCACTTTTTGTGCTAGCTCATAGACAATCTCAATCTCTTTTTCTTATAGACAAAAAAGAATCAGCACAATATGCGCAGACCGTATAACTTAATACGTACCACATATTAGCCCATAAATATCGCCCAATTTCTCGTCCATCTCCCTCATCCTAAAGTCTTTAAAGTATGCCCGGTTCTCTGTGACAAAAATGAGTTCCCAGTCATCATCGGAGCCAGTGAAGGTTGCCTCGCCCCTATCGTTCAGCGGGATTGCGATATTGAAGCCAAGCTGGGGGAAGTATATCACATTCACATCAATGTCAAGGCTTTCCGGGATGGTACTCGCAATATCTATTGCAACTTGCTTCAACAAACTGCTTAAACCATCATAGCTGTCTTTCATCTTGTCAAGTTCCCTGTCTAGCCCCGGCTTTACCACCGTCCTACCTTGCTCCTCAGTGCTATCAATATCGACCTGTTAGTCGTTAGTCGAGACCTCTCTAAGTAGGCTTAAGTTCCTTACTATCTCTTGGATCATCCGTCCAACTCTGTATAGCTGAGCCTCTTCCAAAACCCAAAGAGCCTGGAACATCAGTGTACACATCGCAGTCGGAGTGTTGTTACACTTACTTTCTGAAGCAACGGCAGTTCGTTCCCGGAGGCAGTTTCCTTGAGGGCATCATGAATATCAATACCGTAGAAAGCAAACTAACAAACTTTCAGTATTTTGCTATATATACCCTTACCATGGTTGACTTACAGCTAGCAATGTGGCCCATACTGTACTCTTGAAGCCCGTTAGTTTCCCACTTCCGGTACTTATTCCTTTTCGAAGGTTGATCATCACGGGACGGAGGTTTTTAATATGTTTGAGACTCTTCGTAAGTTTGTTTAGCGGATTGTAATTATCTGGCCGTAAATATACGCCAATAAAAGCATGGCGTTCGCGTATGACATTTATGTCAATACTTGGGCGGAGGAAAATCTGCTTAAGTCGGTGTCGTCCCTGCGGGCTATAGGCAAAGCGTTGGAATAAACCGTATACCGAAAGACCCTCCTTCGAGGAGGATGACTTTTTTCCTGGTCCCTGATTGACCATACTTGGATGGGACTCCGACTCCATTATTTGAAGTGCTAACAATGTCCTTCCACTCAGAAACCTAGTCTAAGGTAAGATAAATGGTTTTGGTAGTTTTTGAGAAACGGAAACACACATGGTTCCTTGTAAGCTGAGCATTTCGACAGAGCGCACCTGGAAGTATGATGAAGTCTCATCACTGGAAGCAGGCATACCCGTTGCCCTTCGCCTTTGAAGGTGAGTGAGAACGGCACCTGCACAGCCAATCGTCACTTGATTCTCCATGTCGATCGAACTGGGAATGTGTAAGAACCTGCCATCCTGTAAGGTAAAATCCAGACTCTCAGTGTCCATCTGCTCAGTATCAATTAGTCCATTGTGGGGTACGAGGAACCTGATGCGTTGCTCGTGCTCCGAAGATATCTCCAATGCCACTAGCTTGTTCTTCGCATTGAGGTAGCTAAATTCTTGGGATGGACGAACATCAAGCTGATAAGGAAGGTAAGATTGACTACCTATTCATCGTTTTATCAACCTCCAACTCTCAGCCGCTAGATACTCCTGGAGCTTACTGTTTCTTTGCCCACACTCGTCTGTGTCTTGTGAACAGAGATAGTAGACTCGCGGTGAAAGTAGGAGTGCAGTAGGCTTAGTCTGAAGGACCACTAGGGCTTGATTAGTATCTTTGAACCGATGAAATGGATCATTTAACGAACGGCTATCAAGGATCTCGGTGCCAGCCGATTGCATGTCTCCTAACAAATAGAGTGTCTCTTCCTGTGCCGAATAATATGAACAACCCACAGTGCCGGATTCTCTCATATCAACGGCTACTATCACTTGATCAAGATCGTCATCAGTGAGCTGTTGGATCGGGCTACCAGGTAGATAGCCTCGGGAATCATTGAACAGTGGTTGCCTCAATATGGGGGATATTCGAGAGCTAGAAGGAGAGTTGTATGATGCACTAGACTGTGTACCTCTGTCATGGCTAAGTCTAGAATGGGAAGAATGCGATGTGGTGTTTGAGTGATATGTTGTTCGTCTTTTCTTTGTTTGACTTTTCATAGTGTTAGGTCAATGATATTTCTCGAGTGGCTATTTATTGTCCATGGAAAGCAGATGTTGTCAAAAGGCTACGAGTATACTAGAGCGAGGGCCTTGGGGCCTAAGGCTCCGAATATCAGTCCACCAGGTTGTTTTTAGTATTGTAGGGTTCAAGAAGATAATAACGAGCATTCTGGTCAAAAGTCATATACATATGTAACTAAGCAACACTATAGTAATGTACACACAAAAGCGGAGATCTCGTTAATATACATAGACATCATTAAGAGTAAAGACATTCTCAACACCATATTTCCCAACCTACATACAGAACCTGCCTGGGTTATCTAACTCCCGCAAAGAAAAGAAAAAGGATACAAGTTCATGTCAACATATTTATGGGTTTTCGGTCTCTGTCGGGTATGTGGCGTTTGTTGCGTCTTCAGTCTTTGCTCCTTTTGCAGTAACTTCAAGCCCACTTTTGTCGGCGTTGAATGAAACATGGGCGGTTTGCCCAGAGGTAACTTCACCACGAATGATTTTATCGGCCAACCTGTTACCGATTTCCTTTGCGATCAGACGGTTGAGGGGACGAGCACCATATCTAGGGTCGTATCCTTTTTCGCAAAGCCAGTCCTTGATCTCACTGTCCACCTGCAGAGTCATCCTCCTATCGTCGAGCCTTGATTGGAGCTCTTTGAGTCTGATATCAACAATGTCCCTAAGAGCTTCTCGAGAGAGCCTCTTGAAGATAATAAATTCATCGATCCGATTGAGGAACTCCGGGGGATATGCATGTTGCACAACATCCATGACTGCCTTCTTGGTATCAGGGGAAACTTCACCCTTATCTGTCTGCTTGATAGTATGCAAGGGGTCCGAGCCCACAAGGATATCAGCTCCCAGGTTAGAGGTAAGGACAATAAGGGTATTCCTGAAATCAACCTTGTGTCCCTGAGCATCCGTGAGGAAGCCCTCATCCAAAACTTGAAGCAGCAAAGCAGATATATCCCGATGAGCTTTTTCAAACTCATCGAACAAAAGGACAGCATACGGTTTCCGTCTGACGGCTTCTGTCAGCTGGCCGGCATCATCGTAGCCTACGTAGCCGGCGGGAGAACCGATTAAGCGACTGATCGTGTGTTTCTCTTGGAATTCGCTCATGTCAAATCTCACAACCGCTGTCTCGGTGGAAAACAAAAACTCGGCCATTTTCTTGCAGAGTTCGGTCTTTCCAACACCAGTAGGGCCGAGAAACATGAATGAGGCCAGTGGCCGATTTTCTCCACTCAGACCTGCTCTCTGCATGCGGACTGCGTTGGCTACTGCAGAAAGCGCCTCGTCCTGGCCACGAACTGACTGCCGCAGAGTGTCTTCCATCCGGATCAGTTTTTCAACTTCTCCGGCCATGAGCTTGTTGACAGGAATGCCGGTGGTCCGGGAAACAACGTTCGCAATATCATCCGCTGTAACAGAGTCATGGATTAGACTCTGGGATCCTGCAACCTGCTCTTCACCTTCCTTCGGCAGCTTGGCCTCGAGACTTGGAATGGTGGAGTATCTCAACTCTCCGGCTTTTGCAAAATTTCCTTCTCTCTGAGCCTGCTCAAGTTCGAAACGAGCACGCTCTAGTTCCTCTTTGGTGCGCTTGAGTGTCTCGATTTCAGCCTTCTCTTTCTCCCAAGTCTCAGTCAATTTGGCGGCTTCTTCCTGTTTGGCTTTTAAGTCTTCCTGTAGTTTTTCTCGTCTCTCACGACTGCTGACATCGGTTTCCTTGCGCAGGGATTCGAGCTCGATCTGGATAGTGGTGATGTCTCGATCCAACTCACGAATTACATCTGGCTTTGATTCTTGCTGCAATCGTAGGGCTGAGGCGGCCTCATCCACTAGATCGATAGCCTTGTCTGGAAGGAAACGGTCGGTGATATAACGGTTACTGTAAGTTGCTGCCGCCACCAAAGAACCGTCTGTGATCCGCACACCGTGATGGACTTCGTACTTGTTCTTTATACCACGCAAGATCGATATAGTGGCGGCCACGGACGGCTCTCCGACCATGATCGGCTGGAACCGTCTCGCCAAGGCGACATCCTTCTCAATCAATCTGTACTCGTTCAAAGTGGTAGCGCCACAGCACTGAAGCTCGCCCCTAGACAAGGCCGGTTTCAAAAGGTTGCTAGCATCGATGCTGCCCTCTGCCTTTCCTAGACCAAGCAAAGTGTGGAGCTCGTCAATGAATAGGATCACCCCGCCCTGCGCCTCCTCGACCTCTTTGAGAACGGATTTCAAGCGTTCTTCGAAATCACCTCTGAATTTTGCACCAGCTATAAGCGCGCCTAGATCTAGGGAGATGACACGTTTGTCCTTGATACTCTCCGGGACATCTCCCTGGACAATCCTTTGAGCCAAACCCTCCAAGACCGCTGTCTTTCCAGTGCCAGCCGCTCCTATCAGTACTGGGTTGTTTTTCGTTCTTCTTGACAGAACCTGAATAGTTCGATGAATTTCAGCGTCTCTCCCGATGACGGGGTCCAGCTTGCCGGCCTTCGCCTTTTCGGTAAGATCAACACCATATTGTTCTAAAGCTGACTTCTCCGGCTCACCTCCCAAATTCATGCGGTGAGTACCACCGGGAGGGTGAGGCCGTCCACTGGCATAATTGCGAGCCGGTGCTATAGGCTGGAATAAGGAGGTCTTAGCGGCGATGGAAGGAAGAATCCGGGCGTGCGAAGGTAAACGTAATTGTTGAGTAGGGTGGAATATACGGTTTGGCGATGCTAGCGCTGGGGAGCGTAACAATCGACCTCGAGCGATATGTAACCTTGAAGCCATGGCTAGCAATGGGTTCGAGATTGGGAGGTTTTGGATTGAAAGTGCTAATCGAGGTCATCCATGCGAGAGACTGTGACATGCCTATATACTCCGGAGTACTGTAGCAACCCCAAGCATCGTGACGCTTCTCGAAAGCTCCACCGCGGCGGCAACGGTGAGTGGCGGAAGCTCTCCTCGAGGGCCGACGAGCTCCGTCGGGGATCACGTGCGGCCCCGTCGAGGGGCAATTTGGCCGCCGTCGAAAATTTCACCCCTTGAGTGGATCTGGTGCCGAAAAAAATTGGTTTCCAACGCCTTCCCCCTCTTGCTCTCCTATATATTACTCCTCTCCCTCCCCCTTACTTCCCAATTCAACCATATATTTTTCACACATAAATCACTCGTCACAATGGGTTTCACCGATTTCGTTTCTGACGCTGGCCTCACTCGTACGTTTCTTCTTTTCCTTTCATTTCCTTGAGCCCTTCTCTCTTCATTGCTTGAATGGTCCTGAAAGCTAATGTTGCCCCTCAGTTGCTAACAACTGGTTCACCACCAGGAGCTACGTTGTTGGGTAAGTGGCTTCTTTTTCTTTTTTGCATCGTCTCTTTCTTCGAACCCCATGCAGCCCTATGTTTCCTGTTTTATATGATGAAAACAAATTGGTCCGTGTTTATGAGGCGGCTTAAGACCCCGCTGTAAGACTACACAACTTTGCGAGCAATCGCGTTTCTGATCTCCAGGAAAATTTTTTTCCCCACTATCTGCAATTCGTTGCCTGTTTTTGCTTGAAGGCCACTACAGTAGATGTCTTTATGCATTCCCGATGACTAACTGGCAACTAGCCATGCTCCTTCTCAGGCCGATGTCGTGACCTTCAAGGCCTTCTCTGCCGCTCCTGACGCCGAGAAGTACCCTCACGTTGCCCGCTGGTACAAGAACATTGCTTCCTATGAGGCTGAGTTCGGCTCTCTCCCTGGTGATGCCTCCAAGCCCCACACCACCTACGGTCCTGAGTCCACCGAGCTCCCCACCAACCCTAAGGACAAGCCCGCCGATGATGATGACGATGACATGGACCTCTTCGGCAGTGACGACGAGGAGGAGGACCCTGAGCTCGTCAAGAAGCGCGAAGAAAACCTTGCTGCGTACCATGCCAAGAAGGCGGCTAAGGGCCCTAAGCCCGCTGCGAAGTCCATTGTCACCCTTGAGGTCAAGCCTTGGGGTATGTAGCCTGCGCTTACTGCTACCCCTGGAAAATATACGCTAACAATTCTGCAGATGACGAGACCAACCTTGAGGAGATGGAGGCCAACGTCCGTGCTATTGAGAAGGAAGGCCTTGTCTGGTCCGCCTCTAAGTGGGTTCCTATTGGCTACGGTATCAAGAAGCTTCAGATCAACCTGGTTGTTGAGGACGAGAAGGTCTCCCTTGACGAGCTCCAGCAGCAGATCGAGGAGGACGAGGATCACGTCCAGTCCACCGATGTCGCTGCTATGCAGAAGCTGTAAATGAAACGTTTATGAAGATAAATGGTGTGATGAAGGATTTTTCATGTTATCGACGGAAACCAAATTCATGAATTTAAAACAAACAACTAGCTAGAGCTCGATCAGCATTGTCTGATTGTTCTGATGAAAAAATGAAAAAATACCCCAATATTAATACATCGGTATTCCATCCCAGTAAACCCATACCTCTAGGATATGCTGTTGAACCTGTCACACATGATGCTTTGAACGAACTCAATGTTCAGTGGTGAGCTTGCATTGGTGCCCAACTTTTTTTTGGCTTTTGGTGAACGTGGGGTTGTGGGAAGGACTAAGCGTGTTTGCACAAGTGGTTTCTTTAGACCACCGTAGAAGCTAGACTGCTCTCTGAAAGAAACATCGTTACTAAGCTTTGCTGATACCGACGCTCAGTCACATCAGAACCATCTGGGGATTCGTGCATTTCTGTGGCAGAAGCGGACAGAAATTTTCCGAGTCCTAATATCTCATCATCTGTCAACTGATCAGGTTACACTGGGTGACCATGGGGCTTATCTCACGTTTGGTGACGTTCTTCGGACTCGTCCTCCTTGCCCATGCGTGAGTACCGCAATTTCTCTAACAAAATACAATCCCCTTGTTATTTTCGCATCAGGATCGCTTACCAAAGTTCTCGGGGGAAACCAGGGGTTACTCCGCACATGAGCATACGGTCTTGTACAGCAATGCCCGCCTCTCCGCCTCTACCGCTCTTCCGCATGATATCGTCATCGAAGCTCTAGTATCCCTCGTTCTCGTTTCCGTGGGCCTAGTGTTGGGTGCGCCTAAATTGAAGCCGATTAGCTGGAGCCAGTGGGCTGGGGAGATCGAGAAGGAGGGTGGTGGCAGAAACCCCTACCGGAGGCTGGAGGAGAGATATAACTTCTGGGACGTGCGGGTAGGTGCTATATTCCCTTTCCGATGGAGTCTGGCCTTTAAGGATATATTCTGACAGCATCAGAGCAAACGGAAAGAATTTGCGGATTGGATCAAGGGTGAGAATCCTCTCAAGGAGTGACGGGTGTTTTTGATATAGAAAGTTGTCTGGGATGATACCTTGATGTATAGTTATATCAGTCAAAAGCAATTAATGAGTGGTTACTCCTCGGTCTGCGTTACTATTCCTATTGCATTGCTTCGGATCTAATAGTTCGGACGCTGGTTGCCAGCTGACTCTGTGTAGAGTAGACAATGAGCGAGATGCAGTTACAGGGTATCTGGTGTCGTGGACTCGGGGGGCGCTTCACTGTATGTGTTGTCTGCTATTTATCTTTTGGAACGATGTCCTGGCCCTACCTAAGAGACACTCTGTCATATCTTCCAGTACTCTGAGGACAACATGAATGGCTGATTGGCTGTTTCATTGCACACTACCTTGGTTCACTTCAGGTATGACAGAATCTCCGATCTGTTCAAGCCCCAGAAAACCAGCATTGCATCTTTGGTTCTCCATGACTCCTTTAATGCATTCAACAGCTAAATTATCAGCCCTTATTGATAACTCCTGAAAACATAGAATCATACATTAGCCCCAACAATGCCCTGGCCATCCCCCAAACACCACACTCCCAACTGGCCGTCATCTATCATCCAAACCACCACCCCAAACACAATAAGACCTCCATGTCAGACAAAACCCCTACTTGAACACCCCATCCACACAGGATATATCCAAACCCCTCCCCAAACCCAGCAGATACCAACTCCGCCCCCCCTCTCACCAAATGGCGGCACAAACCGAAAGGAAATGGAGCATGTCTCAAATCCCCCAACCCACATTACCAGCACTACAAGAATAGAAGGCCGAGCGAGCTCCCCCGAAGCTCCATAGAGAAGTCAATTGGGCATACCATCTTCTCCCATGGCACACGAGCTGGTCTTGTGTTGCACTCACCGTCAACAACCTGGGTCTAGTGAGAGACTATTGATATTCTACGAGGACGCTATATCTTGTGATCAGCAGGGTCGGTTTCACTTGGGCTGTTGTCTCCGCCGTCCGTTGGATGATAGGTTCAAGGCACGAGCTTTGCTGTGGTGTACCTGTGGGTGAAGCTGCGAGGTTTGGGATATTGGGGTCTTCTCATGGACCTTCGGGGCTTGTTTACGTGGCGAGGGATGCTCTCTCTCTCTCTCTCTCTCTCTCTCTCTGTGTGTGTGTGTGTGTGTGTGTGTGCGCGCCTGCCGAGGAGATTCTTGGTGTCTGTCTATTTGATTAAAGCTGAGTGAGCTGCTGTAAGAATGGTGGCTCAGCGTGGCTGCGTCTATCCTCTACGTTGCGGTCTGCGATGGTTTCTCGCTCGTGCTCCGAACTGTGGGGATATAAACGTGTTCAGTTGATGTCGAGATGGAGTATCGATACTGATGGGTAGAATTGTAAACATAAAGTAAGCATAGGGAATAACGCCCAGTAGACGACATGCCAATGGGAATGGAAGGAGCAAGTACGGCATTGTAGGATGGGGTTAGCCCCAAGGCCCTATAGATCTACAATGGAAGGAAGCACTGTATACAAGGGTATCGCTGTCAATCCTTCTACCCTACCAGTTCTAACTCAGGTGTATTAAGGCCGTTGTGATATAAACGTTGCAATGACAGACACTGGCACTGAGAAACAAAACACGAACTCAAGCCCATCATGTGGAACCCAGGGTCACAGGAGCCAGTCCAAGACGCACGAGCTGAGGAACAAAGATAGAAAGACGGGTGACTACGTGTTCCACATACTTCTCTTACCCAGAGAAAGAATACAAGAAGTCGTCCCCATAATAATATTATCACATAAATTGCCAGACTCCACCCATGCGGCAGATTGATGGAGACGACATTGAAGGTGGACGGGAAACCTGACAAGACCACCATCTGGTTCCAGAATCGATGAAAGAGGGGGGTTCCAAAATCTCAAAGGGAAAAAAGAAAATAGCAAACCTTTCATTTTTTGGTCTTGTTTGGGATATCGGTGGATATAATGACCCTTTTCTCCTCATTAACCGAGATTTATTGTGACATTCTTTACCCTTGCATTTGCCGTTGGGCTCATGGAGAGTCTGGCCATTTACTTGGCACCATTTATTTTTTCTTCTTTTTTCTTTTTTCCCACAGGGGGCTTTCTGGTTCTGACTTATTGGTCCAAAGGTTGTTTGTATTACAACGCCCTATGTGTCCGTACCGGTTGGTACCTTACGGGAGGGAAAAGAACTTTGGTTCTGGCCCTGGTCGCAATCCAACCCATGTCTTGGATGGAATGTGTCGATCGGCACTGTCAGTGTCAAATGGTCGCTGCATACGTAGCCCGGTAGACTAATTTGAATTGTACAGGCACTTCCCTTGGTATGCCTGACTTGGTCGTTAAAAGTCAAGGAACCCTGTACATGCTTCGGCAATGGACGAAGCGATGGCGAATGTTGCGGGAGTGAAACCATGACAACCTGATCCCATTGAATGAATGTGTGGACGGTCACAACAGCAAAGGGTGTGTTACAGCAGTAAGGTTTGAATCGGTGGCGGTCCTGGGCAAAGATTGAGGCTTGAGCCTCGAACGTACTGGAACCTGTACACGTACGGTACCAAGTTCCCATTGCACCATCCAATTCCCCATTCCCGACGAGAGACAGTGGTGGTGGCTTGACTCAGATTGAAGGAGTCGACACGGGAGGCTGAGACCATGCCCCCGGTGACTAAACTGGTTTAGGCATGAGTTAGATTATCGGCTGTCCCGTTTCTTGGTCCATGCGGATCAGACATGGGACATGGTGCATCGGCCGGTCGTCTTGGGGAGAAGTCTTGTTTGTCACTAGGGGAAGAAGTCGTCCAACAGTCTCTCACCTGCGGATATCCTCCTCGTAATTCTGGTTACGGTCGCTGGCTTTGGTCCAGGGCTAAAATAGAAGAATTGACTCATTACGTGTGCTGTTGATGACGAGTGAAGGATCCGACTATTCGTCTAGAGAGGGGTCTATTGGTACCTACGTGGATAGGTATTATTCTCGTGGACGGATTTGAATACCAATGTACTCCGTACTCCGGGTACATCTTTTCACTTCTCCAGCTTGGTAGTTAAAAAGTCAATAAAGAGAAGTGATGAAGGTGTAAAAAAAAGGAAATGAAAAAAAAGGGAAATTATGAGACAAGGAAGTAGAAACAAAAAACAAAAAGAAGATAAAATTAAAAATTA